TCTCCCCCCTTTTCCCTCTCTCCCCCCTTTTCCCTCTCTCCCCCCTTTTCCCTCTCTCCCCCCCTTTTCCCTCTCTCCCCCCTTTTCCCTCTCTCTCCCCTTTTCCCTCTCTCTCCCCTTTTCCCTCTCTCTCCCCTTTTCCCTCTCTCTCTCCTTTTCCCTCTCTCCTTTTCCCTCTCTCTCTCCTTTTCCCTCTCTCCTTTTCCCCTTCTCTTCCTTTTCCCCTTCTCTTTCCTTTTCCCCCTCTGTCATATATATATATATATATATATATATATATATATATATATATATATATATATATATATATTATATATATATATAAATATAATATCTGCAACAATGATAAAAAAAAACACTGATCCAAATATGCAGAAAAACCACATGTGAAAAATAGGGAATGCTTAACACGTTTTCGGCTACATCACCTTCATCAGAGCAAAGTAGAATGAAGATGGAAACATTGTTGATCAGACCTCTATACCCGCCAGGGCAGATCTCCTGACCACCAAAAAATGGTGAAGGAAAGGAAATATAAGAAAGAAGGTAACTGTAGAAGGCCCATTGGCCCATCCGAGGCAGCTCCAATTAATATACAGAACTGGAAGATATACAAAATGGATGCTATATTGTATTGACGTGCTATATTGAGGCTTATATGGGGATCCAACTTGTACATCCCAGGGCTCACATTAAGGCTGTTGTTACAATGTTTGATCAGAGCAGACTCGATCACATTTCGTTCAACAAAACCCTTACTTTTAACAATGCATTTTCCCCTCTGAAGTCGATAGAATGATTGCACAAACTGGAATGTAAATACAATGTACTGGAGTGCTGAGCTGTACGAATAGCAGATGAATGTTGCTATAAACGCGAGGAGAGAGATTTGCCAGTCTGGCCAATGTAAACACATGCACATTTATTACAAGGGATTGAGTACACACAATCGAGGTTGTTAGTCTTCTTGTTGATAACCTGTGACACATGACTGTTGGAGTGTCCCTTGTTGACCAGGACCTTCCTCGCTCTTATGTGTCGTATCCAACGGCCAGATGTGTCATGTAGGACACGTGTCTACCAGATTAACATCGTAAAATGAACCCCTTGAGTTTAATGTTCAGCTCCCTGAGAAAAGAAGGTAACTGATTCTCTTGAGTAGAAGAATCAGAGAAGATGATTCTCTGAGAAGGTAGCTGATTCTCGCTAACATTGTGTGTGTGTACTCGCTTAGTTGTGCTTGCGGGGGTTGAACTCTAGCTCTTTGATCCCGTCACTCAACTGTCAATCAACTGGTATACAGGTTCCTGAGCCTATTGGGCTCTATCATATCTACATTTGAAGCTGTGTATGGAGTCTGCCTCCAAACACGTGTGTGTGTATGGATAAATATATAAATTCATACATTATGAACATAGACAGAGGAGTGGGCTACACCTCTCGGCTTATATATGCTTTTCCCCCATCAAGGCAGAGCCACATGTGTGGCGGTAGGCCTACACTACTGCCACACCTGGGTAATGCGGGTAATAATTTTCCGGATTGGTTATCTGTACCGGCCGCACACCGGCCTGGCTAATCCGGAAACGAGTTATCTGGATTTCAACGTCCATATTATTTTCCGTGCAATAATAAAAATAACTAAATATTTACCGATGTGGCGGGAAGAGGTGAATTAAATTTGCAAATTACAATTAAAATGTTTACCCCAAAAATGGACATTTATGCAGGAGACAATGCAGGAAGGTCGCTGTGTTGCGTGTTGCAACTTGAAGGTCAACTGTGCAAAGGATTTTCAACTGTGGAGCCGGGAAGGGATTGCCAGCACCACACAGGTGATGCCGGCACCACACAGGTGATGCCCGCACCACACAGGTGATCCCAGCACCACACAGGTGATGCCCGCACCACACAGGTGATCCCAGCACCACACAGGTGATGCCGGCACAAGTACCCAGCAACACACAGCCAGTCTCAGCAGCGGAATTTACATACCAATGTACGGCTCATTCTGCCTCGATTTTATGACCAAACCCAACCAGTTCAGGAGCATTATCTTGCCCCGGCCACCCATTGAGAGAGAGAGAAGAGAACTTCTCAGGAGAACTTTCTCTACACTTCTAGAACAAACGATACCAACCTCATCTACTGACGAATGAATAGAGCTTAGCGTCTTCTGGGGTCCAGACTTGTTCCTCATCCTGTCCCTCATTCATGTTCACATGTAGCGTTGTCACACCTCTTATCTAAATACTTCACCACGTACCGTAAATACAAATAATTGCCAATCAAATCACATCTAACCAACCCTAGGCCTAACTACACTCAGTTAATCTCCATCCCTCGCACAAGACAGCACATATGACTTATTGCTTATAGACACTATTTCGCTTATAAATAAGTACATAAGTGACATATTCCAAGCCATATTTTTTCAAGGCACTAACTTTTCCTCTCAGTTTTATTAAACAATAGAGATCTTATACAAATTTTGACAAGATCCTGAGTTACTTTACAATTTATTTAAATATTTTAGTTTTGCTTTATTATTTTTATATAAGTGTAATATCAATATAGGTATAGGTTCAGTATTAATTGTAATATCTTAACATACTAAGGTTAGGTTAGGTTGTGGTTTTCTATTCAGCTTTTCAAGGTAAGCTCAAATATTCACAATAAATTAGTATGTCACATATGCACTTATTCATAAGCAAGATATTGACTATAAGCAAGTGCGAGAACGGGTTGCCCTAATCTTCATTCAAAAACATTTCCACACACCGTCTCTAAACCTTCCACATTAGGAGAGTTGGCAGCAGTGTCAGGGGCGGGACTGTTGGCAGCAGTGCTGGTGTCAGCGCGGGACAGTTGGCAGCAGTGTTGGTGTCAGCGCGGGACAGTTGGCAGCAGTGTTGGTGTCACCAGCGGGACAGTTGGCAGCAGTGTCACCGGCGGGACAGTTGGCAGCAGTGTTGGTGTCACCAGCGGGACAGTTGGCAGCAGTGTCACCGGCGGGACAGTTGGCAGCAGTGTCACCAGCGGGACAGTTGGCAGCAGTGTCACCGGTGGGACAGTTGGCAGCAGTGTCACCAGCGGGACAGTTGGCAGCAGTGTTGGTGTCACCGGCGGGACAGTTGGCAGCAGTGTTGGCAGCCCCGTGGGAAATCACAAGTTGTGAGGGAGGAAGCTGAGGGTCGCCTCATTATTAATATCTGCTGTGGGTCCTCTCCTTAATTAATGTGTGCTGCCCCCCCCCACCTGCTCCACCCCCCCCCAGTCCCTCCCCCCCTCCCCCACCAGGGGTGTCTGCTGTCACCATCACCAGGGGTGTCTGCATGTCTGTCACCATCTCATTAATATTCACCTCATTTTCATCATCATATTTTATCTTCTCAATGTTTGTCATCTTCATCATTATGGCCAATAATGTTTACTCTCATCAGTCACTGTCACTTTCACCACTACTAAAGTCTTCGAAATGTATCATCTTATAATTATCAAAATCACTATCGCCCCTAATGGCAGTCACCATCACCAATTGTCACCATTGGCTCAAGCGTTCATTACCTTTGATACCATCACCATCGGTATGTGAGACGCGTCGCCTTCACCATCACCCTCCCCTTCACCATCACCATGATTTTCACTATACCCATCACCACCGCATTCACCATAACAATCACTTTCACCATCACCATAGATTTCCAACATTACCGCAGACTTCCCGCCTCCCAGAGGGCACTTTGGCTGGGGCTCTTGGCATAAAGTTAGTCCCCTCTCTTCTCTCCTCTCTCCTCTCTCTCCTCTCTCTCTCCTCCTCTCTTTCTCTCAAACTAAGATATACGGGTTAGGTGGATAGTCCTGACTGGTCATCCGAGGCAACACACACACACACACACACACACACACACACGGACTAGCAACTGTAAAGAAGTTCAGAAAAGTATTCCTGCAGAGGGATATGACAAGGAAAGAGAGAATGAGGGCAGCAGATGCGAGGAAGGAGCGCGGGGAGAAAGAAAGGAGTCAGGGAACCACAACCCCAAATCCTACAATCCCAGAAGGGGAGTGGGGAACCCTCCACAAGAAGTTCAACAGCCGCAGGGAGATAAGCACCTCCCCCACCTTCCGCCCAATTGACATCCTGCCTGCCCCAGCCCCCGCCAACCCCCCTTTAAGTGCTCACCTAGGTCATCCTCCCCCACTCACCCTCCTCCCCAGGACCTCCCTTCTCCCCCATGCCCTCCCGTCTCCCCCCACCCCCAAGCCCTCCATTCTCCCCCACCCATTTAAGCCCTCCATTCTCCCCCACCCATTTAAGCCCACTCTTCTTCCTCACCCCCCTCACCTCTCCCTTCCCCCCAACCAGCCCCCACTCCCAGCCCTCTATCCTCTTCTGCTACCCAAGGGGCCCCCCCCTTCCCCCTTCATCCCCCCCAAGCTCTCCCTCCCTCATACCCCCCCCCCCCAAGCCTTCCCCTCTCACCAACTCCCCCTAGCCTTCCTCTCATGGCCCCCCCCCCCAAGCCCCCTCTCCTCCGCCACCCTCGCCCCCCCCCCAATGCTATGATAGATATGATAGTCCAGTAGGCTCAGGAATCTGTACACCAGTTGATTGACAGTTGAAAGGCGGGACCAAAGTGCCAGAGCTCAACCCCGGCAAGCACAAATAGGCGAGTAAACACACACCCACCCCAAAATCCCTAGTCTTTGCCTGCCCTCAGTTTGTTTGATCTTTTATACCACTGTTGGGACGTGTAAGATTGTTGATGTAGATAAGTAATCCCCAGAAGATTAGCAAGGGGACTGAATGATCATTCATTCAACATTCAGGCCTCAACATTCCTGACAGCATCGTTACCTCCTCCTGCTCCCTTATTAACCTGATCATTGGGCCTGAATGAGATGTGAATTCTCTTCGTCCACGGCTAGGGTGGTAGTGACCTCACATGGACATATTCCACTCGTGTAGCACACTAACCGCGCGTGTGGTGTTGCAGGCTGTTGTGGGCTGCACATCGTGGACCTGGTGGTGCCGGAGGTCATCCAGAACGGGTCGCGGTCTTCTGTGGTCCTGGACTGCGCCTACCGCTACGAGCGCTACGAGCAGGAGGGCCTGGTGGTCAAGTGGTTCTGGAACAACGAGCCGGAGGCCGTCTACCAGTGGATCCCAGGCAAGATGCCCGAGGCCATGGGCATACTCAAGGTCAGTTAACAACCTCATTAACTGTCACGGTCATGTCTCAGTGGTAACTGTCACGGTCATATGCCACTGTATGATATACTTTGGTCTCAATTGGTTGTATATTTCCAGAAATCCTCCTGGTACAGACACCAAACTACTTGATTTAGAACCATACACACTGGTATGTGGTTGTTAAAGCTTATGTCTTCAGCGTGAATGTGTCCATTGTCGTCTTTTTGTGAACTTGTTTTAGGGGTCACTGAGTGAACCCGCACGGTGAGTTACGGTACGCCACCGGGTAGGTATCCCAGGCTTGTTGGACCCCAGTGCTGGGTGTTGAGGTGGGGCCATACTGGCTGCACCACTGTGCTGGGTGTTGAGGTGGGGCCATACTGGCTGCACCACTGTGCTGGGTGTTGAGGTGGGGCCATACTGGCTGCACCACTGTGCTGGGTGTTGAGGTGGGGCCATACTGGCTGCACCACAGTGCTGGGTGTTGAGGTGGGGCCATACTGGCTGCACCCCAGTGCTGGGTGTTGAGGTGGGGCCATACTGGCTGCACCCCAGTGCTGGGTGTTGAGGTGGGGCCATACTGGCTGCACCACAGTGCTGGGTGTTGAGGTGGGGCCATACTGGCTGCACCACTGTGCTGGGTGTTGAGGTGGGGCCATACTGGCTGCACCACAGTGCTGGGTGTTGAGGTGGGGCCATACTGGCTGCACCACAGTGCTGGGTGTTGAGGTGGGGCCATACTGGCTGCACCACAGTGCTGGGTGTTGAGGTGGGGCCATACTGGCTGCACCACAGTGCTGGGTGTTGAGGTGGGGCCATACTGGCTGCACCACAGTGCTGGGTGTTGAGGTGGGGCCATACTGGCTGCACCACAGTGCTGGGTGTTGAGGTGGGGCCATACTGGCTGCACCACAGTGCTGGGTGTTGAGGTGGGGCCATACTGGCTGCACCACTGTGCTGGGTGTTGAGGTGGGGCCATACTGGCTGCACCACAGTGCTGGGTGTTGAGGTGGGGCCATACTGGCTGCACCACAGTGCTGGGTGTTGAGGTGGGGCCATACTGGCTGCACCCCAGTGCTGGGTGTTGAGGTGGGACAGGGGAGTAACGTCGTGTGAGTGTTGCAGGGGCGGGTGAACCTGGAGTACCCAGCGACGCGGGACAAGTACAGCAAGCACAGGGCCCTGGAGATCCTCCACCCGACCACCAACCTCACCGGCTCCTTCACCTGCCGGGTCTCCTCCTTCCACGAAGAGGACTTCGCCTCCAAGAAGATGATTGTCTATGGTAAGGTGATTGTTGAGGAAGCCTGGAGGATGCGACGATTGTTCCTTGTGTGTGTGAGTAGTGAGGTGGGGGGTGTATGAGGAAGTATGTGGGTATATGTATTTACTGTTTGTGCCTGTAGGGTCGAGTTGTTAGCTCTTGGACCCCGCCTTTCTAACAGTGGGTTATCCAGTGTATTCACCTCGCACTTATTTTTCTCTATCATTTTACTAAATATATTTCTGTGTGACATTGAGGGACTTAATTTCATCGCTTTAAATTTACTAGAGTTAAATTCTAATAGCCATTTGTTGAAACGTACTTTGTTTGTCTAAGTCATCTTGTAGGTTCTTGAGGTATCCCCTCCGTCTTAATCCGCCTCATAATTGTTACTTCATCAGCAAACATTCACAAGAATTGATCATTTTTTTCCTAAAGATCGATTACATACACGAGGAGCCGGATAGGTACCAGGACGGGCCCTTGTGAGACTCCGCTCTAAGACCTCACATCTCGCCCCCCCCCCTCACACTCACACTCTTTTCTGTCTTGTACACTAGAGCACCTTCCCTGCCACTCCTGGTGCTGTCTTGTGCACCACAGCACCTTCCCTGCCACTCCTGGTGCTGTCTTGTGCACCACAGCACCTTCCCTACCACTCCTGGTGCTGTCTTGTGCACCACAGCACCTTCCCTGCCACTCCTGGTGCTGTCTTGTGCACCACAGCATCTTCCCTACCACTCCTGGCTGCTTCTCCAACTTGTGCACTGGTCTCGTGTACTCACCTAGTTGAGATTACAGGTTCGAGCATCAGCTGTTTAGACCGACCTTTCGACCAGCATTAGTTCAATGCAGTGACCCTTATCACTCGTGTTTCTTATCATATTTATATTTAAAACTGCGCATTGAATTGGCTTTGACACTCTCCTCATCTAGTCCCTTCCACTTTACGACTCTTAGACTGAAAAAGTCTTGTCTGACATCCGTGTGGCTAACTTGAGCTTCCACTTTCCAATAATGTCCTCTCGTTCTACAGCGCCTTAATTTGAACATTGTTTCTATATCTGCTGTGTCAATCCCTCCTTAATATCTTGCACGTCGTTATCATGCTTGCTCTATTCCTTCTATCCTTCAGTGTAGTGAGGTCCAGTTTCCTTAGTTCTTCATAGCTCAGTCCCCTTAGTTCAGGAATGAGCTTTAATTGCTGCATATTTTTTAATATTTTCTACTTTATTTTGTGTGTGGGGGATTTTTTCTCCACCATTGAATCTCATATAATATTAAATAATTAGTACAAAATAAACTTAGAGAAGTGGACTGTAAGAACTTTTATATACAGTGGAGTGATTCCCCTTCACATCTTTAGGGGGGGAATTCTATAATGTTAATCTACGTATAACATAGATATGAAATATTCTCGTAAATCAGAAATAAATTAAAGCATGGGGTTATTACACTAACTACTGTATTATCAATATTTAGAGGCTTAGCTGCCAAAGACGAACGAAGAATACGTCCGGCAGCTCTGTAAGCCGTCTAATCCTGTCAATGCCGGTTATCTCGGGCGACACGTGATTTCTCAGGATGGAGTAAGCTTCTTTTGAAGATAGTTCCACGCTGCAATATTAATATCATATAATTTCTACCTCAGAGTGTATAACTACATACATACTCATGAAATTAGAGCTGACAGAGCATGGGAAATACTTACGGGTGTTTTTTGTGTTCCTGTTGCATAACGACAAGGCTCCCTACATAAACAATAAGTTATGGCCACAACAAATTATTTTAGGGGTACTTAGCCTTGCCGAACGCGGTGTTCGTAATAAAATGAAGTTGTCAAATCAGTCTGAGGTCCTATAATGCACGGATGCTCCTATAATCAGACGATAATAAAGACCAGTTTCAGGACACCAATCCAATTTGGCTTCTATCTCTGCCAAGTCTCTCGAGAGTGCTCGGCACGCCACCTAGCACGGGATGGTGGAAACTTGGTAAATAATTCACAATATTTTATTTTGATTTCCTAATTGATGGAAACCTTGTCGGCATTATTTTAAGTCATAATAACGTACTATAGGTAACAACAGACTTTCTCGCTGTGTATATTATTAGACCTAAATGACGTTAGATGAAATACATATATTTGTATGTGAATTTTAGTTCATGACTTTGTTTACTGGATCATCTGATCATAGCTGCAGAAAATTTTTCCCAATAAACAGCCATATAATTGCTAAATTGAACTAAATCAACTACCAATCTATATTCCATAATAAATTCAACAAGGGTTAGACTGGATTTAATTATATATATATATATATATATATATATATATATATATATATATATATATATATATATATATATATATATATAATATAAATGTCGTACCTAATAGCCAGAACGCACTTCTCTGCCTACTATGCAAGGCCCGATTTGCCTAATAAGCCAAGTTTTCATGAATTAATTGTTTTTTTCGACTACTTAACCTAACTTTTTCGGCTACCTAACCTAATCTAACCTAAAAAGATAGTTTAGGTTAGGTTAGGTAGGGTTGGTTAGGTTTGGTCATATATCTACGTTAATTTTAACTCCAATAAAAAAATATTGACCTCATACATAATGAAATGGGTAGCTTTATCATTTCATAAGAAAACAAATTGAGAAAATATAATAATTCAGGAAAACTTGGCTTATTAGGCAAATCGGGCCTTGCATAGTAGGCCGAGAAGTGCGTTCTGGCTACTAGGTACGACATTATATATATATATATATATATATATATATATATATATATATATATATATATATATATAATATAATATAATATAATATAATATAATATAATATATATATTATATTATATTAATTATTCTCGAGGGAGCCGGGCGGCTGACGCAATACCGGCCCCGATGTTAATAAGAATTTGGCGGCACTACGTCGTATTTAAATAAGAATTTAATGGTACAACACTACTGATTAGTAGTGTTAGTAAATTATAATTCCTAGTACAATAAATACCTCTTATCGCACTAGGAGTTAGTATTTGGGTGTTGGAAATTTCCAACATTGAGCATGTGTGCTGTCCTGCTGATGTGTGCCTCTGGTGTTAGGTCTCCAGTTATGTTCACTCCTAAGCCTCTCGTGTTTGTTCTGACGATGGAAGTTGCCTTCCCTTCATCCTGTACTGTATTTGGGGTCTTCTGGCTCCGGTTCCTGTCCTCATGACCCTGTATTTGTCAGTGTTAGTCTAGTAACCATTTCTCAAACATCTCAGGAGATCGTCTGGTTAATTTACTATTTGTATTGCAGTCCCCATCAGTTCTGACTCGCCCCATTACTGGACCATCATCAGCAAACATTGGATAAGAATGAGCTTACTTCCTCTGCTAGATCTTTCATATATATTATGAACAAGATGGAGGCCCTAGTATCAACCCTTGAGGCACTCCACTCCTTACCTCTCTCCATCCTGATGGTTCTCTTACTATGACTCTTTGCCGCCTTCCTGAAACTCCCTGAAGGTACTTCCTCACTCACTTTAGTACTTTGTGTGTGGTGTGGGGAGGGGGGTTTCCTCGCCTAGTTGTACTCTCCTAGTTGTGCTTGCGGAGGTTGAGCTCTGGCTCTTTGGTCCTGTCTCTCAACTGTTTCTACTACTACTACTATTTTTTCACACACACACACACACACACACACACACACAGACACACACACACACACAGACACACACACACACACACACACACACACACACACACACACAGACACACACACACACACACACAGACACACACACACACACACACACACACACACACACACATACACACACCCACCAGGAAGCAGCCTGTGACAACTGATTAACTCTCGGGTACCTATTTACTGCTAGCTAACAGGGGCATAGGGTGAAAGAAACTCTGCCCATTGCTTCTCGCCGGCGCCCGGGATCGAACCCGGGACCACAGGATCACGTGCCCAGCGTGCTGTCCTCTCGGCCACCGGCTCCCGTGTGTGCGCGCGCACGCGTGCACGCTGTAAAAGGCAAAATAATGTATTAGCAAGTCCACCATTGTGTTTGAGCACGAGTGTTGAACCGCAAGGTTCTATATGAAGCAAAATATTACAAAAGACCATTGAAATAAGCCGGCTGAGTTGCTTAAATAGTTAAAAGGAAATATCTTTGACGACAATGCGTCCAAATTATAAGAGCAGCAGCAGCAGAAGCAGCAGCAATAACAGCAGCAGCAGCAGGAGGAGGAGCAGCAGGAGGAGGAGGAGCAGCAGCAGCAGCAGCAGCAGCAGCAGGAGGAGCAGCAGCAGGAGGAGCAGCAGCAGCAGCAGCAGCAGCAGCAGGAGGAGCAGCAACAACAGCAGCAGCAGCAGGAGGAGCAGCAGCAGCAGCAACAACAACAACAGCAACAACAGCAACAGCAGGAGAAGCAGCAGGAGCAGCAGGAGCAGCAGCAGCAACAACAGCAGGAGAAGCAGCAGCAGCAGCAGCAACAACAGCTTGGAATACCATACAGACTCCTCACAAAAGCAATAATACTCTTTCTAAGCTTTCATCTTGCGTTGTGCAATGTAATCTTGCATAAAAGATTACCCAAACATTACTCTCTGGGTTTCACAGTAATGATTACTCACTCACCATTACTCACTGGGTTACTCAGAAATAATTAACCATTACTCTCTGGGTTGCTCGTCGATGCCATAGTCTTAGAGAATGTACACAAGTACTTCTGCTCTCATGCACACAACACGCACCTTGTGAGAGCCGCGTGTGTGTGTCATGGCGGCATGTTAGAGTGCATATAATGTCATGTTGCTGTGCTCATTGTATTGTTGCCGGCAGCGCCAGCCACCAGCATGAACATGTCGTACAGCAGGCCGGCGACGGGCAGCGTCAACATCAGTTGTGACGCGCATGGGATGTTTCCCGAGCCTCACCTTCTGCTCTACAAGGGCGCCTCCAAGCGAACCAGGCAAGTCTCCCCTCCTTGGTGGTATAGTTAGTTCCCCCTCACTCCCTGACGGTATGGTTAGTCTCCCCTCACTCCCGGGTGGTATGGTTAGTCTCCCCTCACTCCCTGACGGTATGGTTAGTCTCCCCTCACTCCCTGGTGGTGTGGTTAGTCTTAAATCCTTCCTTAAAAAGGCTAAAATCCTCCCACTCTATAATAATGGAGATCTCGCTGAAATCAACAGTTTTAGACCAACACCAATCCTGCCCACCTTGTCCAAAATGTATGATAAACTCTTATACAACACCCAGCTGTATTCCTTGATACACCCTATATACCTACTACCAGCCAATATGGCTCCATAAAAATACCAACAATGGTTTGATTAATATGCTGGACCCGATGCATGCTGCTCTTGATATAATAGTACCTACTGGGGTACATAAGTATAATAGTACATATTACAAGTACCTATTATTACCCAATATAAGTACCCCCATAGGTTTATTTGACCTACGTAAGGCTTTTGACTTACAATAACCATGTTAAACTCCAGCACTACGGAGTCAGAGGTCACTCCCTTCAGTACTTGTAATCTTATCACAGTGATAGGCAGCAGTGTGTAGGTGACCTACCTACACCCTGGTGTATGGGGGTCTCCTACACCAGGGTGCCGAAGACGCTAGTTCGATCCCGCCATCCTACTCCAAGATTTTTCTCATAGATATCACGTTAGTGTCATTCCCCTGTGTATTTGACCTAATACTGAAGACGGGATGTTATTACCAAGAATGAGGTTATGTAGAGAGTTGTGAAGAGATGTGGTGGTCAGGTCGTCGGTGGAGGCGGAGGTGGAGGTGCTGGAGGGGGAGGAGGGCTTCAGCATCTACCTGGAGGCCGTGCTGGAGGACCGCTCTCTGCGCCACGAGACCATCTTCGAGTGTGTGCTCCTCATTCCTGGCACAGAGTACCAGGTCCGCAGGAGTATTATATACTTCCCAGGTGAGGTCCTCTGCCCCTAGTACACCTGCTGCTGCCCTACACCCTGCCTGCCCTGCCCTACACCCTGCCTGCCTGCCCTGCCCTACACCCTGCCTGCCTGCCCTGCCCTACACCCTGCCTGCCTGCCCTGCCCTACACCCTGCCTGCCTGCCCTGCCCTACACCCTGCCTGCCTGCCCTGCCCTACACCCTGCCTGCCTGCCCTGCCCTACACCCTGCCTGCCTGCCCTGCCCTACACCCTGCCTGCCTGCCTGCCCTGCCCTACACCCTGCCTGCCTGCCTGCCCTGCCCTACACCCTGCCTGCCTGCCCTGCCCTACACCCTGCCTGCCTGCCCTGCCCTACACCCTGCCTGCCTGCCCTGCCCTACACCCTGCCTGCCTGCCCTGCCCTACACCCTGCCTGCCTGCCCTGCCCTACACCCTGCCTGCCTGCCCTGCCCTACACCCTGCCCTACACCCTGCCTGCCTGCCCTGCCCTACACCCTGCCTGCCCTGCCCTACACCCTGCCTGCCCTGCCCTACACCCTATCTGCTGCCCTACACCCTACAGCCTTTAGACTTTGCTATATTTATTGAAATACTGTATTGAAATATTTTATCATAAACACCTGATTATTGTTAGTTAACTTGCTTGAGATATGACCCCACACACTGACCCCTCACACTGACCCCACACTCCTCCAACAGGTCACGACGCGTACAGCAGCTATGGTGAGTTTCCCGCCCTTTTTGTTAGTAACTAGTTGGACCTTGTCACCTTACTCCTGGTTCTTGTCACCTTACTCCTGGTTCATGTCACCTAGCGGCCTGGTTCTTGCCACCTAGCTGCCTGGTTCTTGCTACCTGGTTCTTGCCACCTAGGTGCCAAGAACCGTGCCCTCTCCCTGAGGGGTGTCCATCTGAGCTGTGTGGCCCCAGACCAGTCAACAGTCGCTCCCCGGCCTGTAGCCTAATCCCGTTGTATATTCTCTTTGTCTGCCTCAATGTGGGTGTAAAGGCTGGCTGGGCAGCTCGCTCTAAAGCCTTGATATATCGCTAAGTTATCTTCTGTGGTCTGTACGAAGGTGCTCTTGTTAGTCCGTGTATTAGGTGTCTTGCTATAGAATCTATTTCCTCGTCATTGAATTCTCTCGTGATTAAGAATTCTTACGATTCTTCGAAAAAACGATTCTTCGCGGCAGGGGATCGTATTCCAGGAACCATAGGATTAAGGACTTGCCCGAAACGCTACGCGTACTAGTGGCTGTACAAGAATGTAACAACACTTGTATATATCTCAAAAAAAAAAAAAAAAAAAAAATCTGGCGGGTACTTGAGCCGTTGTTAGCGTCACTTGTTATGGTGTTAATTATGGCTGTTGTTCTCTTCCTCCTCCTTGGGGCCTTGTGGTGGGTTGTTTGCTTCTCTGCTCCACCTGTTCCCCTCTCTCCTCGGTCGTCTGGTCATTGTGTCTGTGAACCCAGCCAGCAAACATCACTCGAGTAACATTCGGTCAACGTAAGATCAACGTTATTAATGTTGGTTCATTCTTGCATCAACATGGCTAACACAAGTTTACTCGCTAGGGATGTAAACTGCTCAAGCTGTCACTCCTACTTGAGCAGCAATGTTGCGTCTTTCATTGCCATGTTTCACTTTAGGTTGTGGGTTTTTGTCTTGCCTCAGGACTTCTCAGTCGTGTACTACCACAGCGTCCTGAGGGGAGTGTACTACTGAAAGAACGAACTCGCTAGTTCTTTCTTTTCATTTACTTTGTTAGAAATACCTTCAATATATGTATTCTAGATCTTAAGACTTCTGTTACTCATTTAAATTCCCTAGAGTACTAGGATGTAAGGTTGTGAAGTGTACAATGGGTGTACAGTGATGCAGTGAACCAGGGCACTAGGTGTACTGAACAAGTGAGGAAGGCGTAGCCTCAGACGTGGCCACACATTTACAAGGCTAACCAGCATATATACATTTTCATGTCCTCCGTGGACAGGGTTAGAGATGTGTTAAACATATAGTTCAGGGATTTATTGAACAATCGGCCACGGAAGGGGATTGTCGTGGCTTTAAAATGCTAATCTATCTTACATAAATACACAGATTTACGTCTGTCCTACATAAACAGTGTTCAAGGTGTCTTTTTACATAGCCATTAATGTGTGTTTGTGTGTTTACAATGGTGAAATGCAATTCAGACCAGCTTACACATCTTATATACACACACACACACACACACAATTTTATATATATATATATATATATATATATATATATATATATATATATATATATATATATATATATATTATTGTACCTAGTAGCAAGAACGTCGTACTCGGCCTGCTATGCAAGGCCCGATTTGCCTAATAAGCCAAGTTTTCCTGAATTAATATATTTTCTCATTTTTTTCTTGTGAAACGATAAAGCTACCCATTTCATTATGTATGAGGTTAATTTTTTTTATTGGAGTTAAAATTAACGTAGATATATGACCGAACCTAACCAACCCTACCTAACCTAACCTATCTTTATAGATTAGGTTAGGTAGCCAAAAAAGTTAGGTTAGGTAGTCGAAAAACAATTCAGGAAAACTTGGCTTATTAGGCAAATCGGGCCTTGCATAGTAGGCTGACAAGTACGTTCTGGCTACTAGGTACGACATATATATTATATATATATATATATATATATATAATTATATATATATATATATATATATATATATATATATATATATATATATATATATATATATATATTATATTATTATTTTAATAATAATTGATTTATTATTTTTGTATCAACCCATGTATGTCTTGTAACCATCAAATGCATAATAAAGCACAAAAAATAAAAAAGGAAGGGGGTGGTAGGAGAAAAGCACACAGAAACTGTATTGGAGGGGATCTAAACATTCCCTCTAATGCGTTATGCGTGGGTTCCTCCGAGGCTATGGGTCCCCCTTCTTCCAGCTAGAGGTGGTACTCCCTTCCATATTATAAAAAAAAAAATATATATATATATATATATATATATATATATATATATATATATATATATATATATATATATATATATATGCAACAATGATCACAAAAACACTGATCCAAGTATGCAGAATATTGCAACTGATCACATAATATGCAGAAATTCTATATATATATATATATATATATATATATATATATATATATATATTCTCTCCTACTTTGACCGGGTAAAATATCTGCTATAGAAACTTGTTATTAAGCACTTACCACTGAAGGTGATTAAGATGCTTTTACAAGCTCAGGTTATAGTTACATCACATACGTTGTATAAATGATGCATTACATAGTCAATCTTGGGTACAAGTCCAATATATCAAGTGTTCCAGTACTCGTATAGTAGTTACAGAGTTCAGCATACTTCAGCCCAGGAGGGCGAAAGTCAGCCAATATGGGACATTCTACAATATAATGTTCAAGGGAGTTAACTAGTGTAGAAGGTGTACTGTGCTGGGATGTAATGTGATGTAATTGTTTTGTTCTAGATTCAGCTGCTGGGAACAAAAAGTTGCAAGTAGCACGGGCTATGGTGAGCCCGTAGTGGAGTTACCTGCCACAGGAGCGGGGCTGTAACTTGTGATGTCATTTTCAAGGAATTGTTATATAGTAGAATGCAAAGGTGTGTAGGATGGTGTATTGGTTAAGGTGTAGTGATGCTGTGTTGTGTTGGCAGGTAGGGCGAGAGTGGCGGGTGCCTCGCCCCTGCTGGTGATGCTGCTACTGCTGCCTCGCCTACTGCTGCTGCTCCAGCCTCCTGCTGCCACTAGCCTCCTCGCCCCTCTCCTAGGGGCCCTCTCCTAGGGGTCCTCTCCTAGGGCCCTCTCGCAAAACACATTTCTCTACTCTTAAAGCTTCTCCATACACTGTTTGCTCTTTCCGCTGCCGCTACAGTGTCACCCGCTGCCGCTACAGTGTCACCCGCTGCCTCTACAGTGTCACCCGCTGCCGCTACAGTGTCACCCGCTGCCGCTACAGTGTCACCTTGGGCCACATTGGACACTAACGACCACAGTTACCTAGAGAGTCACCAAGATGTCCTCTAGTGTCACTAGTCACACGTCAACGAGTAGTGGTTCTTGTTAGTGGTGATGTCACTTGTGTTGACGTCCACAGCTGACGTTATGGTCAACTTTATTGTACCTTGTGTACGTCTACTACGCGCATGCGCACTTAGTACGTACACACACACACACACACACACACACACACACACACACACACACACACACCGAAACGTCGTCGTCTCTCATATATTATGTATATATTAATTTATTTATTTATTTATTTATTTATAAGGCTAAAGAAAATGTCGAGCTTGTGAGTGTTTGGCGCCTTTCTTGTTTAGGAAAAGTGGGGAATTTGTTGTAATTTCTTCGTTGTTTACACAAAACGTTGTGTATCTTTAACGTATACACAAAGCTTCATATGTATCTTTAATGTATACATAAACCTTGGCATGTATCCTTAACGTATACATACACGGATGATGACAAAGCAAACTCACATGTGCAAATGACATGTATATATTGACAACTTCTGCCAAAGGATTAGTTTTAAACGCTTCAAATGTTATGTATAATGTTAAATTTTGATTAAGCTTAAATCTTAAGGAATTTATGTCCGTAATAGATTATAATATGTAGTATGGGTAACATATTGTATCAAGGAGAATATTATGAATGAGTTAAGTTTGTATAATAGGGAATAAATGACCTATGTCTTGGTGATGTACTCACTACACTTGGCTATGAGGAGAAAATTCTATGTGAAGAAATCCCGAATGATATTTAGGAACTTGTGGCTCTGCTTGTTAGTGGCTTGGTAACAATGTAACATTTAATCACCAAAATATGTACTTTTATGCTCCATTGTACCTTGTATATATATTAATAAAATAAATCAATAAATTCAAACTGTTTTGCCCACTTTGTGATACAGCCGCTGTTGAGTAGACAGTCTAGCGGAGGATTAATTGTTCAGAATTTCGAGGATCAACGTCCCGCTGGCCCGGTCTCTGGGCAGGCTGCCTGTTTGCTGGTCTGAATCAACCAGGCTTGGTGCATTTTTGTGATATTTTCTTAAATCCACCTCTCAATAACACCAGAGACCACAACCACACTACCATAACACCAGAGACCACAACCACACCACCATAACACCAGAGACCACAACCACACTACCATAACACCAGTACTGTCAGTCTGGGGTGTAGTGTTGGGCGTCACCAGGGGGGGGGGGGAGACTGATGACCTGGTGTACTCACCTAATACTAACCACGAATACTCACTCACCTGGTGTCTACACGGAAGCTTCATCACTGTTGTATCTTGAGTGAGTACTGGTCCCTGATGTTCTAACATCACAAGTCTTGATCATTATATTGCCTTGATAAGGAAGATTGATTAGGATTTTTATATTGAACTTAATTAAATACATTTATAATACTAAACTGTCCATCTCAAGACTTTAGTTTAACTTAACTGTTAAGTCATATTTGTAACAACTGACTTGGTGGCGGCATGAGTGAACAAGTATACCTTTCGATCCATCGTGTATGTACGTTAGAAGTAGCTTTAGGTAGTTCTGGCTCAGTCGTAACAGATCCCATTTACGATAATTATTCCAATCAGAGGTTACTTTGGCAGACATGAGTCTCTCTGGAATAACAAACTGGGCAACAACAAATGGCTGATTCCAGTTGAAGTACAGTCCTTCCCCATTATACCCGAAAATCTCTGAAGAAGGAAGGTCACGAAAATCTTTGAAGAACACACAACCAGGATACGGCAATGACAAGATGCTGAACTCGCTGTACCTGTACCTTGTCGACCTTTTCCGATGATGTCACATACACTCTTAACTTTACTTTCTTCTTCTCCATCGTGAGATATTGTGATTAGTGTTGTCGTTGTTCGTCCTTCCTTTGCGACAAACCAACCCAAAACCCGAAGAGTGCTTATTTTTACCAGAAGATCACCCTGGGCTCTTCTGGCACTTGGAGAGGGGCCCCACTCTCTCCTTATGTGGTATGATCTCCTCAATCCCCTTTGTTTTATTATTATTATTATTATTATTATTATTATTATTCCGTTCTGCCCTGTCCACAGTTGTAGTTCTTGGTTCTCCTCCCCCCCTCCCCCTTCCCCCTCCCCCCCTCTCTCTCTCTCTCTCTCTCTCTCACCTACTTCCTGGGAAGCCTCACTAGGACAAGGGCAAACTCCAGCAAATTTGAATACATTTACTGGACAGAGCACATACACACATATAATAATAATAATAATAATGAATCCTACACACTATACTATTTCAGTCAGGTTGCACTCCAACACCATCAGAACACACTCATCTGCTTATCAAGTGGTATCCTATCTCCTGATTCACCACCTAATATTACCAACCTCCTCAAGTAGGTCAAGTCTTATAACACAATGTTGCACTATCAGCAAGAGAATATATATCTATAAACACATACAAGGAAAACCAGCGTATGAATGCAATAACATAAATAATAGTATAAATGTTCCTTGATATACAACAATGATCAATCGATCCCCCTATCAGTCCTAAAACACACATGTATGTCTCTGCAGGTAATCCAGCCTACGACAGTAACCCTATACTTCAGTATAAGTACTCCTTGGCACAAAAATGGCAAACACTCACTCACCTTTCACTGCGTCTTGGGCGCTAATGACAACCAAACACTCTAACAACTCCCTACAAGTAGTCAATATGAACTTCCTTTCCACATCTGGAAGTTCACTACCCTGACATCTTCAGGTTCTTCCGGGTTTATCTACCAGGATCCTCCGCAGCTCCTCCAGGCTGCTACACCATGAAGTCTTCCTTGATCAACAATGGTGCTTCACCACTTCTACCAGGATCCTCCGCAGCTCCTCCAGGCTGCTACACCATGAAGTCTTCCTTGATCAACAATGGTGCTTCACCACTGGTATCACAAAAACATGTAGACTTTACTCCACTGCTTCTCCTCTCACAGCTTGAGGTCCAACTCCTCACTATAGGGACTGCTCTTCCACAGAGCTCAGTACCTTCCACAACCTTGGAGTCTCATCAACTACTCACTCTCTGCTGGCTTCCAAGTTCTCAGCAACTTCTTCCCCAGACAAACCTGCAACCCATTGACACACCAATAAAAATGTTTCTCATAAACACACAAACGAAATAATCCACACAATATGTTTGCATCCAACATCTATCTGCTCTCTACATGCTGTGAGTGTGGACTCCCCCGTTTGGGCTGGTCCATCCTCCGCCTGGGCAGGGGCTCCTCACTCCTGGAGCTGTTCTCCGCCGCCAGCCAGTCAGTTGGCGCCAGGCGGTCGACGGGAGAGGATATGCTGCTCGTCCCTCCAGCTGTCTCTCTCATCTCTGTCCTCTTATTTAGACTTCCTGCCTTACCAAAACATGTCTAACGTATCAATAAACATTCACTGCGATCGCTGTGAATGTTTGTTTCACATTCACGGCAATCACAGTAAACTGGCTAAATTTGGGCTTACCACAATAAGGTCTCATGCAGGGCGCTCTCTGACGGGGCGGCGACACTGTGGGTACCTCAGGTTACCCACAGAACTGCCTTAACTGTCCCCTCAACACCTTCTACAGTCCCTGACTTAAGCTGGCACGCCTCCTAACTTATTCCTCAGTCGAGACGTCTGTCCACTTCCTCTTGAAGGTATATCAACTAGGGGTTCCTCTCTAACAGGAGCAAACACGGAGTACAGCTTCCCCCCACGATTTCTTCAGCTCAAGTGGCTTAAACTCCTCTCAAGCGAGCCTCACACCACCAAATTATCCACATCTCATAACCAGTCATTTCTCTATATCCTAATTCACTGCCCATATTCTTAAATTGTCTGTCAAATCCAACCAATTATTTTACATCTGTATCTTCATGTCCACACTTCTGTGACCTCTTATTCAGGTCAGGTCTTGCTGAATAACTCTCAAGGGGGACACTCGTTTCTTCTGCAGGCTGAGATCATAACAGAGATCAACGATCACACCAGCATTACATGTCTTCAATAGTCTTATATTCTGATATCTTACACGGTCAAACAACTGCCAGTCGCTGCTAGTCTGGGGTACTTCATCGTCATTTTCATCCATTCTATTGGAGCTAGATGAATTGAAGAAATAATCCATGCCAGAACGCTCATACATCTCCGGACCTCCAGATAGACCTGCAAGTAGCAGATCTGCATATATAATTTTCCTTGTACATGATTAGCAGGAATAGGCAACGTAGCTCTACATCGAGGAAATTTGGCCTTGAGAGTGGACTCTTTGAACTTGGACCCATTACCCTGTGCCTTGGCTGCTCCCGCGATCATGCTCGTGTTCCCACCAGCTGGTAGGGAACATTTCCTTGCAGATTGCACCTCTGTGGGATGTCCATTAATGGAAATGGGAGCACGAGCACCTCCAGACACCACAGAGGAGAATGAAGGTACACTGGTCAAGTCCCTCGGGCAATACCTCACACTCCGGGATGATCTGCCGGTTGGGATAACTATTGCACAGCTCTCCCTCAGCATTGGGCACAACCATGGCCTTGGTACATAACAAGATAATCAGCCATAACAAATACCCGCACACCATGTATGTCCACGCCAACACCATGAACTCCTACACTGACCTCACAATACTAAAGAAAGAATACTGCTACCCAGAATTCCACCGCAAATTCCCAGACGGACAAATGCAATTCCTCGGAAAGCTGTCTATAGTCTAGCTACAATATATGAAGACTTTATCAAGTATCTTGTCAGTCTGTTGACAGGAAATGACCTCCTTCCGTGGTGCAAAAAATACCTGAAGATAGCCTTTACCGTCTCCACCACACCACTTTCCCTCATCTACTGAGATTAGTCTCACACGTACCAGGTAATCCATTATTAGTGTTGTACAGAATGAGTTTACGTGAAGGAGTATTACCTGATGCTTGGACAAAGAGTGTCATTGTTCCCATCCCCAAACCACACTCAGATAATTATAGACCCATATCTCTA